TAGCCAACCTAATAGAAAACTTTGATGGTAGAGAAGAGCATATAGCTCTTGAAAAGCTTTGAAAGTATAATCAGGCAATATTGACTCTGGTAAAAGAAGCAAAGAGTCAGATAACAACTAGACCAATGCAAGAGAGTTGGGATATTAAGAATATAGGCAGAACAGTACATAGTATACTAAAAAAAGAAATGGTTATTCAGTATACAAAAGTTTTAGATATGTTAGATCTGATATTTATTAAACAACTCTTGAATATGCAGGGAACTAGATAATTACGTGGTTTTATCTCAAATGAACAAAAAACAGATTAAGTAGAGAAAAAGTTCCTATCTGGTTTAGATGTATTGAGGATTAGTTAATAACAGATCATGATACAAGAGAAATAAGATGCGATTTCTAAATAAGTAGTACAAATAAACTTGCACTTACAATCCAAAAGATGAAGATCTTAAAAGATAAGCGAAAATATAACTAGATACTAGTAAATGATAAAGAAAATAAACCAGATATATGTAGAATAATTAGAAAAATAAAGAAGAAGATACAAGTAGAGAAGTGGTCTATTAGTGAGGAGAAGGAAAACAAGGTAAGAATAAATAAAATTGATAATACATCAGAAGGTACTCAGCAGCCAAAATGGATTAATAAGGTGAAAGTTATTTTAACAGTTCAAGGTCTTAGAAAGCATAAAAAAAGTTGGGTATTAGATATGTCATGAAACATGCTTATGAAGACAGAGAAAAATAGTAAAGTAAAACTAAACAAAGAAAAAGCTAAAGAGTTGGATAGTATAGCACATGCAAACCTGGCTGACTAAGTTTGTATAGATAGATTAGAAATAGATTATATTAAAAGACAAGGGTTTAGCAATTATTATAAGAAGTTAATTTTAGATAAACTTAGTAAAAATATAGAATTAAATCAAAATACTTTAATCTTTTATACAAATGGTCTACTTATAAAAAAGAGAATAAGTAAAGAAACAGTGTGCAAACAAGGTTTGGGTTGGCTACAAGTTAATAAAAATAAAGAATACAAGATACAAGAAGGGAGCTTTAGTATTAACCACTGGCCATTATCAACGAGAGCTAAATTAGTAGTGATATGAGTGGTGTTACTATCTACCCTGACAAGAACCAAAGTTAAAATTTATACTGATAGCACTGCAGCAATAGATGCAATCAAAAAAGAAGGAAGCCTCAAGTCAAATAGAAAGTGATTAAGATAAAAAAACTATAATTTGCTACTTAAGATTATAGAAACAAAACATATAAAAGAGCTAGAGCTAGAATTAGTCAAAGTCAAAGACTATAGTGAAAACAAATAGAATGATAAAGCAGATCACTTAGCAAAAATAGAACTTGAAGCACCTGAATTATAGCTACAAGAAGTAGAGCCAAACTCAAGACTTAGATATAATATTTATTAGCAAAATAAGCTTATTGAAATCTCAACAAGAAAATTTATTAAAGAGCTTGAAGACATGAAAGTCACGTCAGAGTGGAGAGTATTAAGCTTTATAAGTGTACTCGAACCAAGAGATGATTTTCAAGAATGGGATTAGAAAGGTTTTTGGAAAAAAATCAAATCACAAAGCAGTATTAGATGTATATCAATAAGAAAAGAAAAAAAACTTAACTTTCTAATTAAGTATTTATATAATAAACTGCTAACACTAAGCAGTCTTGTGAAAAGAAAACCAAACCTGTATAAAGAAAACAACTGCAAGGTGTGTAAACAAAATATAAAAGAGATACAAGACTACCTAGCAAGCTGCAAGGTACAAGAAGATTGATAGTCTGAAATCAAGCAAGCAGTAATAGAAACAGTTCAAGCTCTTATAGATAACTCTAAGAAGAAGATAATTCTTCAAGCATATAATCTCCATAGAAGCCTATTTGAAGAATATCAAAAAGAATTAAAAGATCGAAGAAAAGGTTATATACATAGCTTTTACAAGATTATGATAGTAGAAAATCTTCTAAACCAAGACCTTTCAAAAGAGGAAGTAAATCTAGCTCTCGATACAATGTTGCATATTATGTAAAATAGATTTCATGAAATTATATAGTGATGGAGATGTGAAAAGGTAATAGACTGGAAACAAAGTAAAGATATCACAAGACAATAGAAGGTAGAGAAAAAAGCCTAATCACAAGATAGAAGAAAAGTAAAGAAAGAAAAGAAAAAGTGGTAATAGAGAAAAAGAAAATATTAAGCACAAGAGATAGAAAAATGTCTAGTCGTAAAGGAACTGAAGTACAGAAGGTTGAAAAAAAAAGATGGATATAGTTAGAGTAATAGATAACTTGGTAGGAAAAATGATTTTAAGTAGAATCAAAAGAGGTGGGAAGCTATTTTGGTGTAGCATGTAGGCTGGTTTAACACAGCCCCTAATTTTTAAACTTGTCTTCAAATTAGTGTGGCAAGTTGCATTTGGGCATCTATTAGATATCCAGGTGATATTAGGCTTGCAAATTAGAAGTAAATGAGTATATAATTTAGTAGTATACTTAGGATCTTAATAAAGTATTGGCAAAACTGCCTAAGATTAAAAAAAAATAAAAATAAAAATAAAATTATTTAACTAGTAGGCTTATTAAGGTATATTAGTTTTTTAAATCTGATAACTTTTTAAATTAATTTAAAATCTGTTTACTGTTTACTATATATACTAGTTTTAACAGAATATACTATAGTAACTTTGCAAATCTTTATATTTGTATTTTTAATCCCAAGTATTTTAAAATCTAATTTGAATAATTTAATTACTATTAAGATTAGAAAAACTTTTTTTAATTTTTAAAAGATTGTTTTAGCTAATTATATTATTAATTTAAATTTTTTTTTTTAATATTTAAGATAGGACCTTGCTTTTATCTTTATTAAACTTAATGAAAACTTTTTATATAATTGAATTATTGATTTAATTTTGTAGAGATTGTAAAGACAAAACTATATATACCAACTTTAAAACAAAATTCTTTTTAAACTATTTAGTATTTAGTTTTATAATTTTTGTTAAAAAATTATTTAAATACTAAAAAAATATAAGTTCTATATTTAAAATTATTTTCAATATTTACTTAATATATAAGTAAATTAAAGAAAAATATATTTTTTTCTAAATTTTATATATAAATTTGGGTGAGTTAATTTATTTATTTATATTTAAAAGTATTTTGAATTTCTATAAGAGAACATGTCTTATTTATAATATATAACTAGTTATAATTTTATTTAATATAACAAAAATTTAGTAAAAAATTTAGCTAATAAGATTATTTTAATATATATTTAAAAAAAAATTATTACTAGAATATAGTACTTTGCAAAATCAAATCAAATTTTGAATTTGAGTCAAATGTTTGAAATTATTGATCAAATTAATTAAGAATTTGACCAAATAATTTCAAATATTTGATCTAAACTCAAAATTTGATTTGATTTTGCGAAGTACTACTAGAATATATTCAAAAACCTATATACTAGCTATATAATTTATATTAAAAATACTAAATTTTCAAAAATTTAACTTTATTTAAAATTTAAACTATATTATATATAACTTTTTTTTTTTAATATTAAAGGTAAGACCTATATATAACTTTTTTATATATTTCAACTATATATATATAAATATACTGCATATATTAAAATTGCTAGTTTTTTTTTTTTTTTTGAAAAAAAATCCAAAATAATTCTTAATTAGATAATTATTTTTTGCGATATACAATAATTAAAATATTTTTATAATATACGTATATACTGTATAAATACTACTATAAGTCATTTTATAGCGATTTTATTGATTTTATTTACAATTTTTTTTACAATACAATATATATACTTAAAAAAACGATAACAAATCTGTTTTGACAATTACATGTTACTCCTGATCTTGAATTGTGATTGGTCAACCATTTATAGAAAACAATTTTGTGGGTGCGCTATCTAAAATTACCCTTGTAAAACATGTTAAGTGTCCCAAATCCTATTGGAAAAGTTAAATTCATAAGAAATTTATTTAGCCAATCAGAATCCTAAAGAAGGATCACAAAATAATATATTATACACGAATGATAAACCAATTACCAGAATCGAATAATTTTTGTAACATTTAACCTGATACAAAAATAAGACCATAAAAAATAATAAATTGTTCGAAAAACCACGAGGTACGTATCTGAGATATCACCGGATTGGGTTACCCCTTATCTGTTATAAAATTTGGATATTCATGATAGTCATCCGACTATGGATGATGAATCTCCACAATACCTAAACAAGAATTGTATAGTGAATATGATTTGGATGTTTTTTTTTAAAAAAAAAAATAAATCGATTTATAACAGATCATAATTCGTAACTAAATATATCGATATCGGTATCAATATCTGGGGTAAGATTCACATACTATTACAAATCAATATAAATTATAATAATGATCGTGAATGATTTAATGATAACATGTAAACGTAATATGACTATCAAGGTATTTCATATGAATCTATTATAAGCCTTTTCAGCCTCTTTATTGCTTACCGACTTATACAAGTTTTGTTAGCATGGATATACAAAAAAAAAAACCGGAATAATTAACAAATGAAACAATGATACATATCAATCATTATGTACATATATATTACGCATATATAAATTTTTATTAACGTTTAAATTATATTATCGTTATGATAGTTTAATCTAAAAAATTCTATACCTAAATCCAACTCGATTAATTAACTAAATCCAACTCGATTAATAAATTAAAATTATGTACTGTTTATAATAAAACGAAGCTGTACAAACTCTAGCAAAAAAAAAAAAAAACAAATGTAATACTTTTTTGATAGAGAATAACTGAACAAATAAATCCCCTCTTATATCAGAATTTTTAATTCAGTATGTGTGACGTAGCATTATGATGTTTGAGAAAAACCAAATACAATTTATAATTATAAAGTTCATATATACAAGAGCTAACTAATTCTAATTTTTTGTTATAGTTTCCACCTTCCTAAAATAGCATCACGAAAAGGTTCTAATCGAAACTTTAATTCTTTTAATACTCTTGAAGGAGGATCCCAATCTTCATATAATTTCTTTAATCTGGTAATCTCATTTACGAAAAGTGGATTTCTTATTACATTTTTGTCTTCCAAAATACCGCGAACTGACCAAGGCAAAAAATATGGATTATATTTTGGTTGTGCTTGAAATTTGTTAATCTTTGCTTCACTTGTTCTCAATGATGGTACTTCAAAAAGATACTGTACAGCGAGTCTATAATAAAAATTCAATATTATTATTATTACTGTTGTTATTAAAAAAATTATAGCAAAAACCAAAGTTATTAATAAATACTTACGTGTAAACATCAATTTCATTATATAAAGTTGAATGACCTTCACCATACAATGAACCTATAATAACCTCACTCAATTGAGTAATTAGTCCATGATCCAATATACCAGCATTTCGTAATTTTATAGCGAATATAATTAGATTTATCAAGAAATCTTTTTCTTGGTATAATGGACCATCAACATAAATTGCACGCATTATCGACGGATGATCTACTCCGGTAAATATTCCAGAATAAAGCTATTCAAATAATATAAACCTTTAAAAAAACAAATGAAAAAATGAAAAATATAAACAATATATATATTTAAAAGTACATACTGGCACAACTTGATCATCCATCGAAGCAACATACACCAGTTTTACGCCTTTCTGAATCACAATATCAAGAGCTTGACGATATTTTTTGGCGACAGCACTTTCAGAATCCATAAATTCAAAAAGCTCTCTAGTAGCATCAGCATCAGGATTTCTACCCACAAAGTACTTTATTATGTAATGATCTTTTAAATATGGAAACGGACCATGAGAAATTCCAGCCATAGCCAAAAAACATATACGTTGTCGCTTAGGATTCACAAGACCTTCTTTGATAAGTCTTGAAAGGAGAATAGTACCAACAGGAGTGCCTTGAGAATGAGTTGCCACAAATACGACATCAGCCAAGGCCAGAGCTTCACACCAAGTCTTGTTATATAATAAATTTTTATGTAATAACTTTTCACGAGTTTCTATAGTTCCTTCACCTTCGAGTGGTATACAAGTGATTGCTTCACTTGGCAAAGAAATATTATGTTTAGATAAATAACCCAATACAGCTTTAGCCATCATATCACAAAATTTTGGAGAAGTTCCAGTTGGTTCACCAACGACGACTCTTAATAATTTTGCAGGAAACCAACCATGAACACCAATGATAGCAATTTTCTTAACATCAATAGTTGATCGAGTTAACTCATCTAACCACTTGTTCAAAGCTCCATCATAAGGTTTGTCAGGTGGAAATAAATAAGAGTTTATAGCATGAAGCGCTTTTTGGGCAGGAGAATCTGGATGTTTCACGGGTTTATTTATAACAAAATCATCAAATTTTGGTAAAACGATGCTTACAGGAGCGGGTTTAGCCATTGAAGGTTTTAGTTTAGGCGAGACAATTGGAGAGGTAGATACTTTCTTATCTACATCACTTGAAATTTTTGATTTCTTATCTACTTCACTTGATATTGAAACTTTTGATGATTTCTTATCTACATCACTTGAAATTAAAATTTTCGATTTCTTATCTACTTCACTTGTAACTTTTGATTTTTTATATATCTCATTCGAAATTTTTGGTTTCTTATCTACCTCGCTTGAAATTGCAACTTTAGATACTTTCTTATCTGTTTCACTTGAAATTGATACTTTTGAAGAATTTGTATCATTAATAGTAGTCATTTCAGGACCTTCAGATTGAGAATTAATTTCACCATTAGTGATTAATTTATGATCAGTTTTCTGACTTATTTTAGAAAGTCCTGAATTACTAGAAGAATCAAAGAAACGTCTCCAAAAAGAACCATTTTCAGGTAAAGTTTGAACTATTGGATTTGGAGGGTCCTTAATAATTGAATGTTGAGATGGATGTCGAGATGGAAACGGCTTTTTACTCGAAGAACCAAACTTTTGAGATGTGTCAGTATTGGTGGAGCCTTGTGATGAAGGAGGTAGATCATTATTTAAGGGAGCGGAAGTGGTCGAGGTTGAAGACGAGTTAATGGTGGTTGAAGTAGTTAAATCAGAAGTTTTTGGAGGAGATTCAGAAATTTTTGGAGGAGATTTAGAAAATTTTGGAGGAGACTTAGAAATTTTTGGAGGAGACAGAGAAATTTTTGGAGGAGATCTAGAAAGATTTTGAGTCGACGAAGTAACAGAAGTCTTGGTAAAATCATTTTCATTCGTACTTTCCAATGGATCAGAAGGATAAAGCCACTCAAATAATAAAGATCGTCGTTTTGTTTCAGAGGAGGGATTTTTTATCCTCTCAGATGGATTTCTTTCATCCGAAATAGATGACACATCATTAGTTGTTGGATTCTTCAAATTATCAATACTAGGTTTAACATTCACTTCAGCCAAATTTGAGGATTTGTCGATAGTAGAAATGATATTTGATTTATTAGTTTCTAATATAGGTTCATCAATTTTAATGTTTATGATAGTAGATGAAGTAACTTGATCAACGTTCTCAGATTTTGCCTCGCATGAACCATTATTATTACTATTTTCGGTATTATTATTATCGTTATCGTTATTATTATTATTGTTGTTGCCATTGTTGCTATTGTTACCTCCATCTCCGAATAACCACCGAGTTGAAAATGTCGATTTTTGAGATGAATTTTGAGATGATTTTTGAGATAATTTTTGAACAGGAACTTTTTTGACTACATATATAGTTCGTTTTTCAGCGTACATCATATCAGAGTCAAAGATATTTGAGTCAAATATTATCTCTTCTTTAGAATTTGGATATATAATTTTTTTAATTCTACGTCTCTGTTTCATTTCTACATGTTCATCTTTAATCAAGGAATTATTGTCAGTGACTGATGTGTTAGAGTGAAAAATTTTTTGTTCCTCGATGTTTTCCAAATGGGTACTATTTTGATCTTGTATTAAAATAGTATTAGAGGTAGTGTCGGTAAAATTCGACACACCAGAAATATCGGAAGCAGTTTCACTCGTGATTGCAAAGTCACTTTTTGGAGAAGTGCCGTAGCTCGACATTACTCGAGGTGGGTCAGAGTTAACTTCTGAAACTTTGGCGACCGAGTGAATATTATCTTCAAAATTAATATATTGTTTTGATAAGGTTGATTTATAATAAGGGAAGCTCCACCACGAATATTGGTGCATACTATTGTGAAAGGAGTTTTTTTGACGGATCAAAGAAATGAAGTTATTTTTACCTTGATGGGGCAAAATAAGTAAATATATATTACAATAACAAATAAATATATAAATATATATAATAAAATATAATAATACGTGTTAATGTTGCAATCATACAACAGGTATGTACTCTTTCTAGATATTTGTGGAATGTTTATCGATTTAGGTTTTGCAAAGTGCTTTGCAAAAACAAGTCATTGGACCAAATCCTAAACAGGCAAAATTCTTGGGGGAAAAGTAAATTTTTTTGGGGAATCATATCATATGACTTTAAATGACTCATTAAAACACTATTTGGCGCATAACCCATTTTTTTTGTCTGAAAAAAAAAAAATCAGATCTCCAAGCCTGCATTTACATCAACATACGATAGTGTGGATAGTACATTTTATTTGATAGGATCTTTTATTGTTCTTACGTAATTATTGAATCATGCGTACTAGAAGCATTTCCGATGATTAGTTTTGCAACTCCAAATTGGTATCTGTAACATAACGTTGTACACCCGGAATCCAATTGAATTATCGGACCATTTGAGCCGATTATGTCCTATTTTTAATTATCCAGGTTACGTACAAATTAGAAACACAACCCAAAAACGTAAAAACTTCCGCGTGTCAGAATTTGTAACCTGTGTTGAGCAGATACTTATTGTTATTGACCAATTAAATTAGGGAATTTCAATATGCGTAAAATTCGACTACCCTTTGAACTTAGATGGTAATCCCATTCTTTGGTTGTCATTGTTCCTACTGAAGGGGATACTGCTTTTTTAATATGTCTTATCTACATACTTATCTATTTGCTAACTTTGCTAGCTGTGATTTGGTGCTGTTATTTCTG